AAATTCAAGAGTATGTTTTCATTAAATCAGAAGTCCACCCAATAAGAAAAATTTGCTTTGGGGGTCTCACTGATGCCAGTATCCCCAAAAGAAATGAAGGTATTTTCGCTAACGAAACCCTGAATACCCAAAGAGCTATTAATCCTACATATACTCAGTAAACTCCCAAGATCACATAGTATATTCTTGCTAACGAAACCCCCAATACCTATCAAGATATAATTTTTATCGAGGCTTAGTAAATTCATGAAATCCCTAAATGTATTTCCTCTAACCAAACCACGAATACCTATCGACATATAATTCATAGATAGGCTAAATAAAATTTTGAAATCCTAAAATGTATTTCTGGTAATGAAACCGTGAACACCTATCGAGATATAATCCCTAGAGAGACTAAGTAAAATCCTGAAACCCCGTCGTGTATGTTCGGTAACGAAACCCCGAAAGCCTATCGAGATATAATCCCCAGAGAGACTAAGTAAAATCCCGAAACCCCGTAGTGTATGTCCGGTAACGAAACCCTGAAAGCCTATTGAGATATAATCCCTAGAGAGACCAAGTAAAATTTTGAAACCCCGTAGTGCATTTTCGCTAACGAAAACCCAAAAGTCTATCGAGATATAATCCCTAGACAGACTAAGTAAAATCCCGAAACCCCGTAGTTTATTTTCGGTAACGAAACCGTGAAAGCCTATCGAGATATAATCCTTAGAAAGACCAAGTAAAATTTCAAAAACCTCGTAGTGTATTTTCGATAGCGAAACCCCGAAAGCCTATCGAGATATCATCCAAAGAGGGACTTAGTAAAATCCAGAAACTCAGTACTGTATTTCCGGTACCAAAACCCCGAAAGCCTATCGAGATATAATCCATAGAAAAACTAAGTAAAATCACGAAACCCCAAAGTGTATTTTCGGTAACGAAACCATTAAAGCCTATCGAGATATAATCTAGAGAGACTGTGTAAGATCCTGAAACCCCGTAGGGCATTTTCGCTAACGAAACCCCGAAAGCCTATCGAGATATAATCCCTAGAGAGACTACGTAAAATCTCAAACCCCGTGGTGTATTTTCGGTAACGAAACCCTGAAAGCCTATCGATATATAACCCCTAGAGAGACTAAGTAAAATCCCAAAACCCCGAAGTGTATTTTTGGTAACGAAACCCCGAAAGCCTATCGAGATATAATCTTTAGAAAAACTAAGTAAAATTATGAAACCCTGTAGTGTATTTTCGGTAACGAAACCCCGAAATTAGTATCGAGCAACGTTTGTAGCACAACAATGATGGATCGCAAATTAACAACATGACATCAACCAGTCAGCATGTAGAAAAAGAGAAGAGACCATGACAGAGGAAGGAGAAGACGTAGAGGAAAAACAAGGACGACGACCCACGTGTCCTGAACGCGACTTAATTTCTTAAAATATATCACATGAAGCTCGGACATGGCGTAGGACCCTACCGGTTTCACCTGGTCGCCAACCAGGATCATCAGGGGTCTAAAGTCGGTGCGACTGACTAGTGGTCGTCTACCTTATGTAATAAAAAACAGTGTTCCAGACCATCGAGAACCTACTACTTCATCGGACCAAACCACCAAGTTAAGTATTTGCCTTAGCCGTGCGAACAAAAACCTAGTCAATTCTATCACGTTCTAAAAAATGTCGGTAACACAGCAGACGCAATGGTCCACGGATCAATACTTGAAAACTACAACATTAAAACGTCATTCGACAGAATCGATAGTACCTAAAGTACAGAACCCGGTTCACATATCGATCCAAAGTTCGAGGTCACGCCTCTAATACAAGAAAACCAGCCACACTACACAGACCTTTCCATCATCACTACAGCGAACCACTAAAACCAAAACAACGGTCCTAGAATCGAATCCCGAGTAAGGTACCTTGAGCCTCAATCCGTTCAGAGCATCCCGTCATTATTTCAACAAACAACAAATCGCTAAAAATCGAGGTTCAGGGTTCAAATCCCGTTCCAAAACCAAGAGCATGATTCCTCCTGCTGAATCTCCCTACAGCAAAAAAGTTGCAAAAAACACACCCCCTAATACGGGGAGAAGCCTAAGACCGCCTAAATTCCCCCAAAAAACGGCCCCATCTCGTTAACACCGGTAACCAGTCACCCCACAGCCCTCCGAACTTCCTTGAAAAACTCTTCAACGCGTCATCAAAATAGTCATCAGGATAACCCCTCCTCCACAACTCACATTTCAACGAAAGAAACAAGGAAAAAGCCAAACCATCCCTGGAGGAAAGAGTTTTTGCCCTGTGCAAAAAGGAAAATATGACAACCATCTTTTGTTGTTTGCCCGAGAATGAAGAGAAGTCCTGAATATTCTGAAATTTCAATTTGTCACCAATACCTCCAATCTGGTTCTTGATCAGGGGATGACAGATCACCCCAGTCCGCCCAGTGCAAATACTCAGAACACACCCAAAATATCCCCAGTTGTTGCCTTCATTTGTTTGTTCTAGCGTTAAATTCTCATCATAGCATCTGTGGAACTTCTGAATTAGGCCCTCTCCTCTTTCACGATCTAACTTCCCCTTCTTCTTAAGCACAACAAAAACAGACACGTCGTCAACGCGCCAAAAACCACGAAACAGCTTCCTATCAGCGCCCAAAGATGTGAGAAACTGAAACTCATTGTATGCACACAACAAACTTGCCAATGCCGGGCTTGATGATTTGCCCATTGGAATACCAACTCCCTGCCGCAAGAGCCTCCCTGCAGCCAATATAAAGGTGTGCTCCAACTCAAACTCCACAAAGGAAAAAACAGTACGAAATTGCACACTCTTCCAACCATCACTACCTCCTTTAAGTAACCTTACCCCTTTACCTTGCTTCTTCAAGCCAACCGCGCGAACATCCTTGTCCATCCAATAGTCAATTACCCATCGAAGTGCCGTCAGAATGGATCAATGAGAGAGATTCGAAAACATCTCTTTGATGTCAAAGGAGGCCCCTATAACTTCATCATCGTCCGTCAAACCATAGTTCACCTTAGCCAAACACTTAGTCAAAGCATCAACACACCGCAGATTCAAATTGTTGTCCGCCAGTAGGCCCCAAAGCAAAGCGTTGACCGCTCAAGAAACAGCACGTCCTCCTGCAACAGAGCATTCCGGATAGGAGGGGCGAATTGGCCGAAGTATCCTTATGTTTCGGGATACAATAGGCACGTCCTAAACTCCCATCCTTTTTCCAACGTCCCATCTTCTGCAAATCTCTTCGCACATATTCACCTCTACATCTCTTCAAAATCTCCTCCTCAGTTTCCTTACACTACTGGGCAACAGACCAGGGTATCACCTAAATTGTGATCATTCGGGCAACGGACAAGACCTTCCAGTATAGGACTGTACTTAGAAAGATCGTCTTCACAGATGAAGGTAGAGACAGAGGAAGTCAAAAGAGAAGCAGTAGAGACAAAACAACCAGAAATTTTATCTTTACTTAGCAGGTCGCAGTTCACCAGGGGCAAGGAAGGATGAGAGGAGAATCCGGACAGGATCTGGGAGTGAAGAGTGGACACGGAATAAGACTTCGAGGGTCGGAGAAAGTTCCTAGCATTCTTCATCCAATCAGGAAAAAAGGCACTATCATTGATCCGGAAATACACATGCCCATCAACCCGGGGCAAAGATCCAGAATAATCTCTACATCCACAGGTAGTTGTCTCAGATCTGGAAAACTGACGAAAATTATGGATCTTGTCCCCCATGCTTTTATTTTTACACCAAACAATTTGCATTCGCCTTATTAACATTAGCTTCACCAAACAATTTCCATTCGCCTTATTAACATTAACTTCCATTCAGACACAACATCCTACTGCAAGATCATAGACGAACACAACTGTCGAACCTTAGCCTTACACACACGATCATCGTATGTAATACGTATCACTACACGTTTCCTTACATGGATCCCAAATCGTTTGAAAATAACGTGGGAGAGAAGACACCTCAAAGAAACCTTGACCTCTTTTTCTGAAAGGTGCGAACAGCAGTATAAGCTGCTATCAATTTATCACATTTCCATATCGACAATTGCAATCGAGAACGCGGGTTACTAAGAAAACCAGACAACGGAGCTTTGAGAGCCAACGACCGACTAAGAAATGGAACAATAGACTCAAATACCAAGGTAACACCCTTCTTGAGCCAACCCCTTGCATGCCGAAGCACCAAACGCCCAAACTCACTGGATACAAGACTCCCTCCATACAACCGGCGGAGGACTTTCCATCGATCCAAAAACAAATCAACCCCTACACACTTCACGACAATACTGCATCTCGAAAGCTTTCTCCATGTTTCCAAAATAAAGAAAAGACTTCGTGAAACCAAACCACCTGTGCCATGAAAGAAAATGAGCGAGGAGGAAAGATCAACAGAAGAAGAAGACGTAGAACTCCCCACAACACTCAACTGCGTAGCCTCCCATCGCCTCTTTAATCTCAGCCTCTCCCTAAGCCCCAACCGTCGTTTCCGAGATCGGTTGGGTTTCTCCCTACTATTCAGAGCAAGCGAGAACAGACTAATAAATAACTTCTCAGTAACAAGTAACTCATCTTCAGAACAATGACACAAAGGGATAGCCACGTAAGTATGAGCCCCACGACGTCTCAACCACGTATATAATTTTTCATTCCTTCTTCCTTCCTCGACGACCTTAACCTGACAGGCCCTATACGTATGTTCCCTCCAACGCACATGCAAATCTCTACTCGTACAACCAACGTAAAGGTGTCGTGACCAAGGGGAGAAAAGGGCATAAACAAGCGGACCTTCCCAAGCAACATAATCGTACAGCCGTCCAGACAATGCCCGTACAAAGAACCCGATCAGCTTATCACCCCACGGAATAGCACCGGATAAAATTAGTCCACAAATAACGAAACAAAACAGCAAATGAATATCCCTATTCCGCAATAAAATGATAGAGCGAGAGCGAAGATCAACACAGAGTCGCACAATACTCCATAAAAAAGTCACGTCCGGGCATGATCCTAAGAAGCCGCGGATTCACGCCCGTCATTTTCAGAATCATTCTCCCCATCCTCGGTAACATCGAATACCGACACCTCTTTCCCTTTGTCAACATTACCTTCGTCGGTGTCAAAGATTAATGTCGTTCTTTTTTGCGCAATCTCTTCTTTCGTCGGTTCAAGAGTAGTGTACGTGATATCTTCCTTACTGCAGATAGTCATTATCTCCTCCTTCTTCATACCGCGCAATGCCTTGCTCTCCTTCCGCAAAAAAACTTCTCTACTGTCAAGGGGAGCCGGGGTAGCCTTTTCCTTAACGGTCAAAGAGGGAACCACTTTCTCTTTACCGGTCCCGGCCTTCCTCGTCAATTGCACAGCTGCCTCATCAAGACGAGCCTTGAGATTACTTTGGGTCATTACCCGGTTCTGCATTTGCATCTTAGCCATCTCCTCCTTCATTTTCTCAACCTCCTTCTCCATTTGCTTCCTTGCATTGACCTCTTTCAAACGCATATCCTGCAGCACGTTAACCTCCATCTGGTGTCTGTCCACAACTCCTTTCAGTCGCTCATCCACCTTCAACGTCGAGTTGGGTGTCATAGCAGGAGTCACCCGTGATCTCACCCTGCTGTGAGGAACCGGTGAAACCCCAATCACCACACCTCCACGTTTGTTTCCTAGGCGAAGGGCTTCAGCTTTCCAGACTTCCGCATTCGCCTCCGCATCCTCACACTGCCGCTGCAAAGCACGAATGACTTCTTCTAGGGCCGCAAAACGTTTATTCAAAGCCTCTCGTAGCTCAATCTGCTCACGGCGAAGCCGGATCACCTCCTCACCACCCACTGTTGCTTTAGGAACTCCAGTAGATGTACTCGCTACACAGTGTTTCTGCTGCAACTCCTCAATTCTCGCCTTCTGTTTCGTAAGTTCATCATTACTTTCGTTCTTCTTGACATTGACAGCCTCATATACTTTATCTAACTTCAACCCAACCTCCCTGTTCATCTGAGCCTGAAACTCTCCCCTCTCCGTCTTATCACGCGCCCTCTTCTCCTCCTCCTCACTTAATCGCTTCTTATTCTCCTCCTCCTCGCGCGTCGCCTGCTCACGCGCCTTGTCGGTATCATGTTTAACCTTGATCTCCGCCACGATCTCCTCGAGGGAGCTGACACGCTTCCCAAGCCATCCACCACCATTCGAGTAACTCTGATATGCAGGCGCCGCCGTACCAACATTAGTCTGAGAATTAATAATAGGTGGAAAAGTAGGAATTGGTTGAGCAGGAACTATCGCCAAACTATTAGACTGTCCACCCTGTAACCTCCGATCAGGATGAGGACAAAAACATGAAGTATGGCCACGTTGACCACAGTTATAACAGCTCCTGTTATCAGCCATGTTAGAAACGTTCGATGCCATCTCAGACAAGCTTAGCGAAGCCACGCAGTAGTAGTCTGACTTCTACGTCGGTTACTTCGTGAGTTCAAGTATCGAGCAAGGCTCGTAGCACAACAATGATGGATCGCAAATTAGCAACATGACATCAACCAGTCAGCATGTAGAAGAAGCGAAGAGACCATGACAGAGGAAGGAGAAGACGTAGAGGAAAAACAAGGACGATGACCCACATGTCCCGAACGCGACTTAATTTCTTAAAATATATCACATGAAGTTCGGACATGGCGTAAGACCCTACCGGTTTCACCTGGCCGCCAACCAGGATCATCAGGGGTCTAAAGTCGGTGCGACTGACTAGTGGTCGTCTACCTTATGTAATAAAAAACAGTGTTCCAGACCATCGAGAA